TTATATCTGTGGCACTATACTACTCATAACACTTACTTATTTGCTTAATGTTCTTAAAGCATGCATTTTTTGAAATCCGTACTGAAAATCTTTGTTCATTGGATTTATCTGAAACTGGGGAGGGGGAATTCGCTTGAGTTTTTGATAGTAACAAGTTTACTATCCGGCCGTACAAATTATCATGACTACCATTGCACAGGACTTCATATAAGGTATCAAACCGAAAGAGGATGGCATTTAAAATAGACGCGGCGCCATTTTGTTTTTCATATCTTCGAAAAAATTAGTTCGTTTCCACGCCCTCTCAGGCAGTCTGTAGATTTTTCAGGATTTTCAATAGAACGACTGCTGTAGAGGTCTTCCATTTTGGAAATTGTTAGCTATTACTCTCATGCTGTGGGTGTACACCTTGATTTCGACTATAGTGCTTACACGACGAGATTGGTCCTTTGAAATATTAAAAATCTGACTTTTGCTTCAATTCTTTACGGGCAGACTCGTAACCAGGCAAAAACAAACATACAACTGCAAAAGACGCACGTCTACAGAAAGTATTCGTCAAGATGAGCTCTGAGATAAGTGTGTGTTGAAAGAGGGAATCCTAGCTCGGCACCCATCTTTCGGGTACCTCTTTAGTGCCTCTTGGCATCAAACACAAGTTGCATCATTTGGACATCTTCGTCGTTCACCTCTTCAGCCTAGACCCGAATCAACCGGCTCTTGTGAAGAGAGACTGGATGTTGAGCAATTTATTTATTTATTTATTTTTAATCTCGTTAGATCAACTGGTAGAATATTTGAGTAAGGAAACAGCTGAAATCACCACATCCTTGTCATGCAACAACTGCACCCTTATACAAGCCTATAATTTAAACAAATCAAGCGATACCTCATTTTAGCATAAAACTTTGGTCTAAAAAGTAAACGATTTTGCAGCCGGCCACACTTTTTTATCTTTTTGTTTAGTGAATTTGCTTAATATGCATTTAATTAGGCTTCGCGATTATCTGTAAATCGTGAATAAGAACTGTATCAAAATAAAGTAAGCTTCTCCACACAAAAAACCCTCTCAAACAGAATCAAAAAACATGTTTGACTTCGCCCCAGCGCCTCTCATCATCACCGCCAGCAAGATCCGAACCCGGCCGGTGATAGTTCAAGAAGACCAGATTGCCACAAGTCTGTCGGTGGCACAGTTCGCCCACGATGCAACTCACAGCTCCAAGACTTCCGATGAGAACGGTACCACACCACACTTCTCACCCCTTCAGACGGCCACCCGGTCAACGCCTCGGAGGCATCAACTTGACACAAATCTCTGTTTGTCAGTTTCCGCAACTTTCACCGGTCGCGAGGATTCGAGCCTCGAGCCTTGAACGAGTCCGACCGGCTTGTACCGGATCGGCACGGGTCGAACCAGTCCAACCTGGCGACTACTTGAGCCGGTCTCGTTCTGACTCGGTGCGTCGACAAACGAGCCCATTAGCAGCGGTCCCCAAACGTTTTCTGATCAATCCTTGCGCATCCACATTTGCCCCACTTCAGCACCAATCTCCTCCTCCACCTTGGCTTAATTGAATGTTCATTTGCACCCTCCACACAAAGCTTTTAGCCGCCTCCCCAACAATCCCATCAGCACAAACAACCCTTTCCAATTGAGTAGACTCTTCGCAGTCGCGTTTACTGCTCTCCTCGCCGCTTCTTCGTCTCGGCCAGCCGGGGCTGCAGAAAAACAGCCGAAATGGCTCACTCCATCAGCTTTTGGCCCGACAGCAACACGCGTCTACTCAACGGACAGCGCAAAAGAACGCATCGTCGACGAGTGAACACGATACGGGCTGCAAATTGAGTGCTTTGTAAAGTAACTAAAAGAGAGTGCCCTATGGACAGCCAGAAAAGTATATGTTTTAATTGTGCCTGCCTACATCACATGTACCATGTACTACTCGTGAATGGGTGTGTGTGTGTGTGTGTGTGTGTGTGTGTGGAGAGGGGGTGAACGATATGACTGAGAAGAGGTTTGGAGTGAGCAGATCGGAAAGGAAACCGTTTCAAGCCATTAAGGCGATCAACACAGTGTGGACTGACCAGCAGCAGTCTGTACCAGAAGACAGCCAGGCTGGCCCATCAAGAGGACACAAAGACAGAAGACGCCAACTGGGGGGCGGGAGGACGAAACGAGAGGGACGAGAAGAGTACGCGGAGCAACAGTTAATGGAATTGGAGACATTATGCTTTTGGATCACGTGGCTTCGGGTGGTGCCGAGAGGCGAGTAGGGAAGGGGACGGACAGAAAGTGAAGGAAGAAGAAAAAGTGATCACAAGTTCATGTATCTTCTCGACTGCGACTGGACGACCGGTCTGGTAGCTCTCGACTCGACGCCCTAAAAGCATGGATACAAGCGTCCGCCACCACCGCGGGTCAGAGAAGAGCATGTCGAAAGTCGGCAATACAAGTTGCCTCAATTATCTCCACCAGTTGTAGTTGCCGTTCTATACTCTCCTCGCTTCAGCCTCCGTCACACTCAATGCGCTCCGATCTGAGCTGGGCTGCCTCAAGTGCCGTAGCATTCGACATGACTGCGGCTTGGTTACCGGGTCTAGTGGCCTACAGAACGGGGGAGAGAAAACATAAATAGGACACAAGTGGGCTGGTGAGAGGCTGATGGGAGATTACAAACGGCTGATGGGGAGTTATCGGTCAAAAACGTCGTAGTACCGAAATTTACGGAGACACCGACGGCTCTCCTGAACCTGGCAACAGAATAGATTGCTTATGAGATGGATTCATTTATACAAAAACATTCTAAGGAGAAATGAATAAAACTGGTATTAAAAGCAAACAAAAAGGAATGCCGAATCCTAAACTACCATAAGATAATAACTGAGTAGGAGATCGTTAAGAAGAAAGGGAAAGGAAAGAATAGCCAGGCGAGTTTAAAGTTAGCAAAGTAATAGGAGAAACACTCAAATTCTTCATTAAGAGAAAATTGTCGAAAATAAAGGACAAAATGAAAAATTTTAAATGAATATGTAGAAGGATAAAGGGAAATAGAAAATAAAAAGTCAAAGAAAAGAGGAAGAAGCTGGAAATTTGGAAAAAAAGAAAGGATTAAAATAAGCTGAACAAAAAATTTATAAAAAATTTTTCGAAATTTGAACTAAAGGTTTAGCGAAAAATATCAGATCAAGTGTAGAAGAAGGAAAAGGGTTAAATGAAAAAAATAATTTGAGGTGAGAACAAAGAGATGATATGAGATGAGATGAGATGAGATGAGATGATATGAGATGAGATGAGATGAGATGAGATGAG